TGGTGACGCTCGACGGTCTTACGACGTTTCTCCCCGGCGGCGGCGCGACGAAGCAGTCGTTTCATTTCCGCATCACTCCGGAGACGGAGACGGTGGCGAAGGGTTGAGGCCGTGTTGCGACAAAATGAACTGCCGGCTGATTAAATTAATTACTAAATTAATTAAAGAACAAGCGGGGGACAAAGAAACGCGCAGTCGTCGCCGGGGGGCTCCGCCGACGCGTGCGGCCGGGAGTCGATCGCCCCGTCATATTCCCCCCTCGTCCTCCCCGCCCCTCCCCCGTCCCCCGTCACCGCTCCCTGTTTCGATTATTATTCCCGCCTTAATTGGTGTAAATTTAAATTGCTACACGCTCTTTAGTGCCGGTGCCCGANGGGGGGGGGGGGGGGGGGTCGCGCTCCTCAAACATTGCGCAATGATCGCGGCTGCATTGGCCATTGGCGAGCGGCGTTGTCGATTGAACGTATTTCTACCGAACGGAACTATGTGCATTGCGACGTGAGCCCTGCTATGTACATATTCTTATGGGTCTCGGGGCTCATGTCTTCATGCACATATTTCCGTTGGGCACGGATACGTTCAATTTGCAGGGAGAACCGCTAGATCTCCTGTAGCAAATAGGGTGTTTCTTGGTTGAGGAAAATTGCGGGGAAAAAATCACGGACTTCACGATGGACAACTACCACCTCCTCGGTCCCACATTTGAAATTCGACATTTTAATTTGAAATTCAATAAATATGAAAATAAATTTTTCATCCTCGACATTTCGCCTGCACGATTGGAGCAATGGAGATTACTACTAACTACAACGGATATTGACGTTTTATGTTAATGTTTTTATTAAACGTTGGTTACGACGAATTCGAATTTCACGATCATATGAAAATCGAGTCCATTAATTTGTAACATACTGGTAGTGGCTTGATTAACTTGATAAGTGGGTATGTAGCCTAACAAATGGGTAAGAATTATCTTGCATAAAACTGTTTTGTTTAATTATAATTTTGGACCTATAACTACAAAAACCCATTTTTATGCAAGTTAATTCTTGCACATTTTGCATGCGGAATTGATATCCGCGATGCTTGCGGTAGTGTTTTTGGTGGAAAATATGCACCATTTGACAACGCTGCCGTGATGCAACACGGCTCATGCGAACTCCGAAGATCTCGTGGTAAACACGATTGTAAATCCAACGTAGAAAACTGGTGAGAACTAACAACTGCACCTGTCCGTTGTTCCTCAGAAAACCAGAGCGCCTGCAATATTTTGGTATGCAACATAGACATCATGAGAACACGAATAGTTGCATCCAAACCTAACCATTGAAGAAGCTGGAGCGCCTGACATTTTCTTCGCGTGTGGTATCAAAATATGCCGATCGCTAAATTCATACGTCGTTGTTGCAAGAAGATATAGATATTTAATCAAAGTGAAACAATAAATGAGTAAATTAATACTACATATCGAAATAAAAAGGAAATTATACACGATGCAACTGTTTTGGCAGGGCTTTTCAATCGAGCAGTGTTCTTTCACCACTCTGTATTGTTCAAAGTGTAAAAAACTTGCGATAGCCGAGCCGAATCGCCAATATTGAGATAGTGATATTTTCATTCTGGAAGGATTGTCACAATGACGACACATAAAACAGGAAGTTTGAATTCATGCATCGAAAAACATTGATTTCTGTTTTAGGGTTTTTTTTAAAGTAATTTTTGTAGTGCAAATCGTGTTCTACGTGAGTTATTATAAGAATATAAATATCGTAATGCTTTTTGCACCTTGTCTAAAGGTCTACTGAGATTGTGTTAAAAATAGTGTTTTGCGCATTATTGCCAAAAATGAATTCATAAATAAATGCTTGCAATCACATTGAGTTAAATTCACGGTACTGCTCGCAAATAAGATTACCACAGATTAAATCATTTTAAGTCATCTGCTGGTGACATTCGACACTTTTTGTGGTCCTTGACGGTCCCATAGAATAGCTGAGCTAATCTGCAAAGTGCCCTGGGTGCAAATGAATCTCTCTTTAAAGGTTCTATACCAGAAATATAGGTTCTCCTCAATTAAGGGTCTTTGAGGGTCTCTAATTTGATTGAGGCATTTTTCGGTAAACGGGCGTGCTAAGATTGTTCAGCTTACCCGACACTTCTGCTATGAATTTTTCTCTCAATCTGTTCACAGTTCTTTCTCACTATTGTCAAGGAGTAAATCGACTATGCATGACTGATATCTGCCGCAAAACGCTAGAAATATTTTCACAATTTTAGCAGAATTCCAGACCTCATACGCCCTTTCACCGAAAAATGCATCAATCACATTTGACAGTAAAAAATTCCTAATACAGCAATGTTTGTAAAGATTGTACCACTCCTACATTTACAATAAAACAGATAAAAGTAGATTAGCGAGTGAAATATAAAGGGAAAGTTTCTCTTTTGAGAAACAAGTTTATGATGAAGAAAAATAAACTATTCCAATCTTTAGTTTTTTTCTCTTTTTTAGTGACATGAAAAATGCTGCATAAGTTTGGCGGTACTGTCGTTCAGTAGTTCCTCACTGAAAAAAGCAGTCTCTTTAAGTTTATCTGAAATGAACTTCAAACTGCGAGTCGGGCGGAGAACTCGTTCACTCGAAAACCGTCTGATATCATCGTGAAAGGATACTTTTTCCAGTTGCAACGGAATGAGCTTTTACTCGCTGTTTAGTCCACGTCAAAAGGTCGTCCGGAAGAAAAATCGCACGGCGAGAAGTCGGGTGTTCCCGCGCTTTTGCGACCGATCTCCACTCGGAGGGGTGATATTTCCCTCCTCGTTCGGCGAAGATTTATACAATTCGACGGAGCCGTTGCCGCCATAATAAATTGAGCCTCTCGATTTTCGAGAGCCATCGCGCCGAGGCTGTGGGCTTTCGGGCGCGAAAAATCGATGGCAAATTGGAAATTACGGTCTTTAATCACGTCGTCTTAGCCTCTTTCTTCTCGCCCCGGACCGGCCCGCTTCGATATCCGCCAAGTCGAAGTTCGATCACGATATGACGGTCGTTCGGCCCTTGTCCAACTCATTAACGCGGATCCAGCAAATTGGCAACATTGTTTTTCTCCATATAAACCCATGGAAATATATCGATTCCTGGCAGTGGTGAGGCGTGAATCTACTATCGATAGTTCCTCTTTTGAAGAAATGGTAAAAGATCGAAAATTAAGGTTTTCGTTGCGGACACCCTTTCTATCGATCCTTTCCCATAGGTTTCAATGAAAGATCGATCGATAAATCGCAAAGCATGCGCCGCGCCACTGATTCTGCGATAGGGTGCAGCACCGACGCCGATTGCCGAGGAGGCAGAAATTTTTAATGATGAATCGGAAGTGCTCGACAAATGAGTTATTAAAACGTCCTTCGCACTCCGCGCCCGAGCCGAGATGATAAAATATTCCACCGTAATTGTGATTCTCCTTGAAAAAGTCCAAGCTCCGCCCTCCCGCCTCACCCCGCATCTGCGATGTATCGATTAAACTGCCATTAAAACCTACGGAAAGGATCGATGAACAGGGTATTCGCAACGAACACCTTGATAATCGATTCTTTATTATGGCTTCAAATGGGGAAATATCGAAGATCGATCATTCACGCCTTGCCACTGCCACGCATCCGCCGAGTTTCAAAAACCGTCGTGTAGGATGTTTTCTAACAAATAGATCAGAGAAGGTCAATAGCATTGCGTGCTTTGCGATATATCGATTGATCTCCCTTTTAAACCTATTGAAAACGATCGATAAACAGGGAACACCTCAATAATCGATTCTTTACCATGGGTTTAAATGGAATAACAATCGATACATCGCGATTCACACCACGCCACTGGAGTAGGTATGTTGTGACTGGGTAGGCTTTGTTTCAAAATTAGTCAGTTGCGTTGGTCACAACATCTTGTTTTGATGCTTGATTCTTGTGAAGCAGCTACACACAAAAAGATCTATCCGAACAGCAACTCTCTAGGTTCAATATTAAACAAGGTATCACGCTTTGAAGAATTCCGCTTATGAAGTCATCCACCGCGGCAGTGACGTCCTTGGTCTCTTTCACCTTGCTTTCATTTGTCAGGGAGACACACAATTTACCTGGTTCCTCAACTTAAAACTGGATGAAAGCAATTTACCGTGGAAGAATCACTACCACGGTGGATGACGTCATAAACAGAACTTTTCAAAACGCAATACTTCTGTTAATACTGAACAAAGTGAGTTGCTGTTTGGACGGATTGATTTTAGCTGATCTACAAGAATGAAACATCAAAATACGATTACGTGACCTCTGCAACTGATTCATTGCAAAATCACTTCTGTGCGGTGTGAGGAAAAATGAACGTTTATATGGTGTTGTCGGTCAGTCAAATCGTCGCTCCTCTGACGTAAGGGCGTATCTTGCTTTCGACGTAAACCTTGCTGTCCAAAAAACCCCATGGTTTCCATATGGAAATCGAGATACGCCCTTACGCCAGAGGAGCGACGAAATGACTAAAAAAAGAGCAAATCATAAACCTAACAGGGATACTTCACGCATTGCGCAATGTGTGAAGTATCCCTGTTAGGTTTGTAGGCGCCAATGCGCGCATCGCGCAATGCGTGAAGTATCCCCGTTAGGTTTGTAGGCGCCAATGCGTGAAGTATCCCTGTTAGGTTTGTAGGCGCCAATGCGCGTACCGCGCTGGCAGTAGTCATGCCGCGGCCGCTCCGGACTATGTTTGGCTCTAATATTTAAAGTAATTCGACGGACGCCATTTTTTGTGTTAGAGTGACGTGCGATATATCACATCGATTATTGTTGTTGTTGTGTTATTATTTCTAAATCAAAACACGATTCTGTCACCAGCACAACTGACCTATTGGACAGTGGGACTGATTAATTTATATGAGAAATGCAAGACCGGAAAAAACTTCTTCCACACTGTGGAGGGAAATAAAATCTAGGGCAAAAAATTTAATGAGACATACCTTCAATGATTGGCGTCCTTGGCGTGTAAGCTGCATCTGGAAAGAAAAAATAAAGATAGAATTTATTGAAATGTTCAGAATAAAGAAAGGTTGCGATCAATGATAAATACCGCTAAAAGCATAGGCAGACATCACTCAATGCACGATAAATTGTAATTTCAAAGAAATTTTTGTCAAAAGCTTACAAACACAGTAAGAATGAATTTCAAAAACCGCTTTCCTCCGAATGGAGACCCGTTTTCAGAGTTTTCGATTATTTTAAATGTGAAAATTCGAGGCGCGGTTTCTATGAATGCGATGGAGCCAGGCATAATGCAACTCAAAGTGAGAGAGAAAATAAGACAGGTGTATCACGGCTCATGTAGAAGGTTTAACTCTGCATCATGTGTGCAAACTCCAAAAATTCCGCAAACTGACTCTTTGGCAGCAGTTCTTAGTTAAACAACGAACAATGGGGAATTCGAGAAAAGTGCTGAAATAGTTTTCGCGGCTGTTGCTGCCCCTCAAAACAATTTAGTCACTAATAATACGAGTTATGGTTTCAAAATTTGACCCAATGGTTGGCCACAATTTTGACCAGACTTTGACCCAGTGAGTATTAAAAAGTGGAAAACTGCAAATCGAAGTTTTCGACCTCAACCCGGTTGTATCACAACACTGAACAATTTACAATTGGATTTCATTTTGCAAAAAGGAACCAGGAGCGTTCCAATGTCGCAAAGATTGAGCAACGATTTTTACCTTGCAAATATAAACTAAGCATCTAAACAGTTTCTATCTTTACTTCCAATAAACTACGAATTCAAGATGAAAATTACGTTTGTGAATTCAATTTTATTCATGATTTTATTAATTTTTCGCAAAGAATGTAAACTGCACAATCCTAGCAACATTGTAATGCTCTTGGTTCCTTTTTACATAATGCAATCCAATTATAATTTCTACTTGATGCTAATTTGGCTGGTTCCATGAAAAATGGTTATGATTCGGGAGAGGAATTGACGGCGGTTGGTAAATTTTGAAGGCGAGGGAGAACCGAATCCATCGGCTGCAGAAAGCAATTGAAATTGGCGAGCTAGGCAAATTTTACTGTAAAACTTCCTCCGGCGTTTACGATGCAACCGAAGAGTGCATCGCTTGCGCTCACCGACCAACAACCAACGTGTGTTGGGGTAGGGCTTCCCCTCCGCTGTCAAGCACGCCCCGCACGCTAACTTTAATTAGCTCTCAGACATTGTCAGGCTGGCGAGGAGGAGGGACGGTCAGTAAACTTTTGGCGCGGGCTTACAAGTAATGAGCCGATTGCCAGGTTGTGCGTAAAAACCGACTACTTTACGCATTTGGCGGGTAGTTTGCCGCGCCGAATGGCAACGTTGGAATCGGACGGCGCCGATAACCCTGTTAGTGATAAGCGGAAACTGATGAGTCAAATGTGAGACTCTCGCGGCTTTGGGCGATTTGCGAATCGCGGCCTCGCTTAATCAACGCAGCTCGAGTATATTAGCGGATTCAGCAAATTGGCAACGTTCTTTTTTCATCATTTAAACCCATTGAAATGTATCGATCCTTGGGGGGGACCAGGTGCTCCGACAAAAATCGATTATTTAGCGTAGGTTTAAATGGAGGAAATCCGGTGTTGCCAAATTGCTGGATCCACCTCTGCTCGAGTAGGGTATGAACATGTCGAAATATGAACCTCTTAAGGCCCAGAAGAGCATCCGACCTGCCGACAAGAAAACACTAGGAAAGTGTTGCTGTCGACTCTCACATTTAGATATCAAACCAAGATGACCGACAATATCTGTAAATAAGCGCCCCTCTGCTCGACTGAAGGAATTCATGTGAAAAAACAACATTTGAGAGACTTGGAGGACAAGACGCACAAGTGCAGTTTTTGCTATTCCGAGAAATGCGTGTTTGACGTTTCGAAATTACATGGATCCTTAGGGTAGAAAGAAAGTTCAAACTAACTTTCTGATGCTAAAAAATTGGAATTTTGGAGCGAACAAATTCAGCACAATCCGGCGTTGAGCGATTTGTCTCGGTCGCAGTCAACGAGTAATCCATAACGCAAGCGACAAGTGGATAGTAGCGGATAAAGCCTCTTATCTACATTCCGACATGAGTTCCTGCATCAAGTCGCTGTTACATGATCGATGGTTCCTACCACAGGTGAGATAGGCATCTTCCACTTAACTCCATCGAATCCGGTAGGTAAGTGCAAGAGCCCATAAAGTTTAATGCACTGCACGAGCCAGGCTCGTAAACCTGGGTGACGTCTTTCGCCATTGCAACAAGTAGGAGACGCCCGATGCGCACTCTGGTGGGTGTAAAAAATAAACGCAAATCCGACACGATACGCGGGTCTTGGGTCCGCGCGATCAGCCAGCCGTGGGCGTGATTAAAAGCCCTTTCAAAGGCTTTTCCTGCCGGGGATCCCGCGCACGTTTGGAGCGTTGCCACGTCCCGACAGGGTCCAAAGGGATTAGCGCCGTGGATCCAGGCGGGAAAATGGTCTTCGTAGGTTAGGCCCTTTCCCTCAGAGACGAGCAGGGACGACGTATTTTAGAGACTGCTATCTTTCCTGTAGTGTGAGAGTTACTTTCGGGAGGCAACGCTCAGCGCACCTAATGATGACTCATGACTGAACAGTTGAGCGATGGGATTAGCAATCTTGCCCTTGTTTCCAAAAACTAGCCTAGCAAAGTGTTCACCCCGACATTCATCGGTCATCAATTGGTGAACTTCACTCTCACCGAGTTGCTCATCAATGAGTATTGCGTAAAGAGTACCTTGGACTCTCTAACTTAACTTTTGCCTCACCCACACATCATATTCATTACATTGTTGGTGCAATATCTCTACAACATATTGTCTTTGGACTCCAAAGCCGTATAAACTGTGTTACCAAAGAGACCGGTGACGCCAAAATTCTCACAATCGAATTTCTCTCGAAAATACAACAATCTAATTTAAACGAATCGACTGATTTTGCTAAAACTGCAAAATTCTTCTCATAGTTGAAAAAATAAAAATAATGATAAAACAGGGGGAAAATAATACATGGGACCCTTTTCTGCCAATTCCTGACCTTAAACTTTGTTTGAGACTTGTCTAAAATTTAACCACGTTAGCACGCAGAAAATAGCACAAACTGTTTTCCTCCTCTGTATAAAACTTTTGTCATTAAGTCATGAAGTATAACTCGTTGATTTTAATCATTCGAATACATTTTAAACGTTTTTTGCATAAATGTGGACAGTTTTACAACAGACGCTGGATCAATTCAATAAGACAGAGTTTACACTCGTACAAGCGATGGGGTACGCGCCAAATTGCTTTATCCACGGAAGTTGAGAGTGCATTTTCATTTGTAGTATGCTTTTATTATTCATTTTAAAGACTTTTATTTAAAAAAAAAGAGGTGGTGTCAAAATCATTAGGTTGAAAATTGATATGATCTACTACGATACAAGATTCATACATAATATTGATCGAGATATCACGCTTTGAAAAATTCCGCTTATGACGTCATCCACCGCGGTAGTGACACCCTTGGTTTCTTCCACCTTGCTTTCATATGTCAGAGAGACACACAATGTCCCTGGTTCCTCAGCTTGAAACCGGATGAAATCAGTTTGCGGTGGAAGAATCACTACCGCGGTGGATGACGTCATAACCCGAATTTTTTAAACGCTATACTTCGGTTAATACGGAACAAAGTGAGTTGCTGTTTGGACGGATTGATTTTAGCTGATCTACAAGAATGAAACATCAAAATACGATTACGTGACCTCTGCAACTGACCCATTGCAAAATCACTTCTGTGCGGTGTGAGGGAAAATGAACGTTTAGATGGTGTTATCGGTCAGTCAAATGACTAAAAAAAAGGGCAAACCATAAACCTAACAGGGATATTGCGTACACGCAATGCGTGAAGTATCCTTGTTAGGATTGTAGGCGCCAATGTGCGGATCGCGCAATGCGTGAAGTATCCCTGTTAGGTGTGTAGGCGCCAATGCGCGCATCGCGCAATGCGTGAAGTATCCCCGTTAGGTACAGATACAAGATTCATACAGGGAAGAAAAGATGAAAACTCAGACGGATGACTATTGTAGAATGTTGCATGTTCTCCACCCTACCTCAAAAATTGAGGACGAGACAACAATGTGGCTAACACATCGTGATGCCAAATTTGGCTGGCAATGCGATCAAATAAAGGGAATAAGATGATAAACAACGAGCTACACGCCAATAATGGAATCAATATAATTCAATTACAGAGACAAAAAGAAAGGATGACAGATATAAACTAAAACAAAAAACGTCATCCTTTCTTCTTGTTCAATTGCTTGCTTGTGGCATCATCCTAAAATCGTGTAATTGAATTACATTGATTTTAGTACTGGCTTGTACCTCGATTCCTATCATCGTTTTATCCTTACTGTGGCTATATTTTGTACCCCTTTCGTATTTAGTTTGGCTCTTTTAATTTTTATAAATTAACCTGTATATGTCTTAATACTGTATAGTAGGTGAAATTCTTAATCGTCTCTTAGACAAAAAAAAAAACAAACAAACAAACAAAAAAATCAAGTCAGAAAACGCTGCTGCGGGTCGATTTTTGAAATTTATAGACAAAGCGATAGACAATGAAGAAAAAAGGGATATGGAGGGATCCTATTGGTGAAAGCGAGTGGTTGAAATGGATAAAGGAGGTAGGTGATAGACTAACTGTGCAACCCATGAGGGACCCTATAGTTAGTCCATTATTTTCCCCCTTAGTCTACTGGACCTACTCGTTTCAATCAATAAGATCGCTCCATATTCCATGTGCCTTTTTTGTCTATCGCTTTGTCTAACAAATTCAACAACAAGGCCGCTGGTTGTGTGAAAAGCGACGGAAATCCATGAGATAAGGGACCGTGGTTTGGCATCAGCGCGCGACTGAGGTAGGTTTAAGTAACACGGATTGGACAGTGCTCAAAAAGACGCTTAGCGGAGGCCATTAAAAAGGCAGTGCAGCAGAATTATGA